TCTTCTTGAACTTTTCGGTTTGCAAACGAATGGGAAGGAAGGGGAAGGAGAGCAAATTAGCTCTGGCCTTTGGCCAGCTGCCCTTTGGGAAGAAAGGCGGCTCCTATTGGCTTTAGGGGGTCGAGTGCAAAGTCAAATATCAAAAGGTCATGACTAGAAAGGGCCGAGTTCTAACCACCGCAATGCAGGTTGGATGGGGGGCCAGGACGGCACCCGCGACTGCGGTCCCTTCGGAGCACGGCCGCCCCGAAGACGGGGCTTGAATCCCTGCGCCTAAGATGGTCTGGATGCGCAGCTGAGGCTGCTCGGACGTCCGCCGAGCTCCCACTCAGTTCTCGGAATCTTCTCTTCAGAGCGAACAAGGAGAGGTGGGTGGGTGGCACAGAGACCACGTGGAAAAGGAACCACGCCCCACACTGTGACCACTTCCCCGAGCATCCGTGCGCGTGTGCCTGCAAGGGATGCCACCGAGCCCGCACTGTCGCCCTCTCTCATGTGATACTGACTGTATGCTGGCACTAGCACCTGCACACAGTAGGTGCACAGGAAGGATTTGCGATGCGAGAATTTGGTGTGATCTCTCACAGGACTTTGCTGCTGGATGCCCAGGCGGAGGCTGCACGCTGAGAGGGATCGAGCGACCAGCCCAGTCACCTGTTTGGGAGCAGAGCAGAGACCTGAGCCTGGCTTCCTTATTCCAGTCAATGTTCCGCAAATGTTTATTGAGCACCTACTGTGTGCAAGGGGCAGAGCAACGCCCAAGACAGACCCAATTCCTGCCCTCACGGAGCTGGCCCTCTCGTGGCGGGAATGGCCATGACAAGTAAACAAATGACTAACATCCAATGCGATGGGTGGTCTGAAGGGCAGCCAGGGGACAGCAGGGGCAGGACGTGGACAGCGAGTGGTCAGGGGGGCCTGTCCCACAGGTTGCTCTGCCTGCGAGAACACGTGTGCACACAACAATGTTCATAAGATGAGAACACTGCTTACCTACAACCAACGTTAGGTTCAACACCTAAAGAATGATCGGTGAGTGAGAACACGCTGAGGAGCCCATAAAGAGGATGCAGAGACAGACAAGCCACAGGTGGGCCAAACATGTACAAATCACACGCCTGACAAAGGAATCGTATGCAGAGAACTCCCAAAACTCGGTATTAAAGAAATGATCGAGCCCAGCCGGTGTGGCTCAGTGGTTGAGCATCGACCCATGAACCAAGAGGTCACCAGTTCGATTCCCGGTCAGAGCGCATGCGCGGGTTGTGGGCTTGATCCCCAATGTGGGGCGTGCAGGAGGAGCCGATTGATGTTTCTCTCTCATCAATGTTTCTATCTCTTTATCCCTTTCTCTTCCTTTCTAAAAAAAAAAAAAAAATCAATAAAAACACATTTTAAAAAACAACAGAAAAGATCCAATTAGAAAATGGGCAAAAGACATGCACAGATATTTCACCCGAGACAACATACAGATGGCGCAGAAGCACATGAAGAGATGGGCCACATCGTTAGCCTGCAGAGAAATGGAAATAAAAACCAAAATGAGATGTCACTCCACACCCATCAGGACGGCCGAAATAAAGAGCAACAATACCAAATGCTGGTGAAGACACTGCTGGTGTGAATGTGAAATGCCAGGCTGGTATTTCCTTTTAAAACTAAAAATGGACTCACTCTATGACCCAGCGCGTGTATGCTGGGCATGTACGCCCCACAGAAACGAAGACTGCCTTTCACGCAACCTGCACATGTGTGCTCACGACGGCTTTGTTGTTCCCCGTCTGCAAGCTCAGAAGGTGCCCGTGACTCAGTCCCACCCTGCAGACCCTGTCCCCGGCCACAGGCGGTGTAACGGGGCGGGAGGACAGGGCCCTGCGTGACTGCATGGAACTGAGTGGCTATCTGATCTGAACCGCTCCTCTAAGAGAAGGAGAAGTGAGTGTGCACATTGTGTGTGCCCTACATTTGGGGCCTCTGTGTTAGAGGTAGGTCTTTGCCCAGGGACGAGAAGCAGGTTCAAAATGGTGCACAGTATGATCTTTTTTACAAATACACACACAAACGTGTCCATATGAAGGTCTGGAAAGCCAGCCACCAAAGTGCCTGGTAATTCTCTCTTGCTGGTGGGGACTATGAATATTATATTTTTTTCTGTGTTTATCCACATTACCTAATTTCCTTTTTTAAAAAATATATTTTTATTGATTTCAGAGAAGAAGGGAAAGGGATAAAGAGACAGAAACATCAGTGATGAGAGAATCACTGATCAGCTGCCTGCTGCATGCCCCTTTCTGGGGATCAAGCTTGCAACCCAGGCATGTGCCGACGGGGAATTGAACCATGACCTCCTGGTTCAAAGGTTGACGCTCAACTACTGAGCCACGCCGGCCGGGCCACGTTACCTAATTTTCTACAAAAGGAACATACGTATTCCTTTTGTAATTAACACCTTTCCTGCCGCTCACGAGCTTTCGCGTGTTTCGCGCGCCATCTGTTAAGGACCTTAGATGCCAACACACTGTCTGTCCACAGCGAATGAAGCGATCTCATTGGTGGAAACCGTGCAGGTCAATCTACAAAAAACTATATAATTGCACAAACCCATAAAGCATTGCAGTTACATTGCATTTTGGTCATTCGAATAGTCTTCATCTTCAAGTTCCTGGCGCTTTTAGAAAATGTTTTACGCAGTACCATACGTTAAAAAAGTACTAGGAACTTTAATCGTTTAATTGTTTTTGTAAATAAAAATGTTACAATTATTGAAAAACAACACCTAAAGTGCGTTATGATCTGTAGTTATGATGATTTAAATAACGTGCAGTTTGCCCAAAAACATGCGGTCCCTGGCGTATGTCTTAGAGATTTCTATGCGGTACGAAAGGTGTTAAGAAAGCAAGCCTATGGTTGAGGTGAGAGCCAGGCATTCGATGACAGTGAGCACTGCATTCAGTAACAATCCACTCCGCAGCGGGCTGGTGAAGCCTGCGGGGTCCCAGGCCGGCTCCCCAGCTCCCGCTCTCCTCGTCCTCCCGCCCCCTTCTCCCCAGCGACGCCTGCCTCACTGTGGCGTCTCTGTGGACACGGGAAGCAGCTGCAGCCGAGGCCGAGCCCCGCACACCGTCCCCCAGGAGGCCCCTCTCCAGCTGGAATTTCAGGCTCAATTAGCAGAGACAGGCCGGAGCGGCCCTGGAGCAACTCATCACCCACAGCCGCCGCCGCGTACCTGGGCTGAGCGTGAGCTTCCCGGTTTCCCGCTTCACGTCCTAATAACAGGAAGCAGCTGACCTGCAATTTAAAATCCAACTGGAAAGTGATTTTTTGAGGTTCCTTTCCACTAATTTAAGGAGCGGGGGTGGGAATGGGAGGGGAGGGTGGCAGAGATGGGAGAGAGGCCTGCTGTCCTGGAGTGAAGCCTCATTATTCCGGAGCAGGCGAGCCGAGGCTGGCGGCAGGCGGCTGTGCACGGCCCGGAAGGGGCAGCTGCACCTCGCGGGGGGGTAGGAGGGAATGGGGGGGGCAGGTGGGAGGACCGGCACACCCTCTCCTGTCAAGTGCAGGACAGGAAGGCCCGAGTTGCCCTCACGCTGGCGGGGACGCGGGAGCTGGGTGAGCGGACTCTTACACTCTGCCCTCCATCCTCAGACCCTGACGCTCCCATGCCTCCCGCCCCTTATGCTGGCGGCTGAAGCTGCCGTCCCTTTACGGGTGACCTTCAAAGGCTCTGGATTTAGCAGCAGCCCCCACTCTGACACTCCGAGCGAGCGCGGAGCCTGTGTGCGTTCACACGGAAAGATCACCACTCGGCCGGCCGGCATGCGTCAGGGGTGAGGTGTGAGCGCCACCCGCCCGCTGAAGGCCGGCTCCCAGTTTAGTGCAGGAGGAAACCTGGGCAGACTTCAGCAGCCCCGCTCGCGGTCTGTCCTGGTGGGTGCCTGCCGACTCGGTCGCCTGGGCGCACCGGCTTGGGCGGCACAGCGCGGGCAGAGATCTCCGCGGCCCAGGGCACCGGCGGGACCTCAGCCGGGCCGCCTGCACGCCCAGGGCAACGCTGGCACCCACCCGGGTGACAGTGAGATCCCGGCACGGAGCCGATGCGGAGCTGGCGGGTGATAATGAAGTCACATGCAGTGCCGTGCGGGTCCTTTTATATTCTCGGGCCGCAGCTGACCGCGGGAACTGAAACTGCGGAAAGCGAAACCTCGGGTGGGGGGGATGGGGACGATGCACTCCCCCAATGTCCTTCCTGCGAGGCCGCACACAAGCGCCTCAGGGGAAAGAAGGGACCACGCCCAGGTCTGGAACCCTGTGGAGGGATTGCCTGTCACGTGACGGACGGTAAGACAGCAGACGGGAGAAATCGCCAAGCCCCTTGGAACAGATGAAGGACATTCCCAATTCATGTCCACTGAGTGCTGGGAGTGTGTTTCTGCTGAGCTCCCAGGACCACGCTGCTGGGCCACACCGGCCCTCCCTGTTGTCTCCATCATCAAGTCCTTCACCCTCGGCCCGTGGGGGAGTGGGAGTGCCTGGGCACACACGCGGGACCGCCCAGTCCCTTGGCCCTCTCCGAAGGCGGCGTCTCTGGCATCGTCCGCTGCAGAGAAGGTGACCTGCAGCGGGGCCGGCGCGAAGGCCCTGGAGACGCCGCTCTCCTCGAGAACTCACCCACTCGGGGGACGAGCCCAGCAGACGGGGCTGGAATCTGTTCACAGCAGACACGCCAGGCCCGGCGGGCGCCTCCCTTCGCTCGGGGTGTGTGTTACTGGTTTAGTAAAAAGAAGCACCATGCACTTTTTTCTCAAAAAGGATGAAGGTTCTCCAGTGGCCAAGTGACTGAAAGGGAGGGCGCCAACACCCTCTCTGAGAGCAGCTAGCAGAGGCGAGTCCTCCCCACGGAGATCCGCTCTCGACGCAGACGTGCCCGGGCTTTCGCCAAAGGCCAGGTCTGCCCACTCCTCTGCCCGATCGTAAAGGGGCGTCAGAGACAGGAAACAGCGTGTGCTGGGACAGGTTTATTGTCATAAAAATAAGTTACAGAACGCAACGCCAGCGTGACTGCACGAACACGGGCTCGTGGAAACACTGGGAACGCGACCCCGGGGCGATTCCCCGGGCGGCAGAGCGACCACCGAGCGCGCCGGTACCCTCATCCCGGGTCTAAGGTTGCTGTGCCGCCCGCAAGGTGTCCCGTCCACCGGGACGGAGTCTGTCCTTCGGAGGCTCCGCCTCAGAGCCAGGCTGTCCTTGGGGGGGTGGGGGGCTGGTGAGGGCCATGGGCGGTCTGACTCCTGACCCGCCGGGGGGAGGAGCAGTCACTGCCGGCAGGTGTCGTGGAAGGCTTCGAGGGTGCGGAAGTCCCTCCAGGTGGGGGGCAGGCCGTCCTGCAGGAACCTCCCGCAGCGCTGGCAGGGCGCCTGGAACAGCTTCATGTAACTTCTCAGCCAGGTCTAGAGAGAGCGCGGAGAGAACAAAAGACAGGAATCGGTGCCTCCAAGGTCACCCTTCCTCTCAAGCCTAGTGACCTCTCGGACAGAGGGCCAAGGTGGCCGAGTCGTCACTGGGCTGCAGCGGGACCCACAGGCCCCACTGGCCCCCACTGGCCCCACTGGACCCCACAGGCCACAGTGGACCCCATAGGTCACACGGCCCATCTTCATTTCTGCACCGGCCCCTCATAAACTGAGGGAGCTTTTAAATGGAAGTTCCTCCTCTCAGGCAGGTCACGCTCCGGGGGGACGGGCAGGAACGGCCAGGAACGGCCCACAGCCGGGAGCGGGCGCACGTGGGCACGTTCCCCGGGCGGTGGGCAGTGTCTGCTGACACCAGCATGGGCCCCTCCTGTTCCCACCAGTGGTTGAGAACATGTGTGGAGGGGGGACGCATCGCTGATACTTCAGAATTCCCCCTGAGGCCAATACGCCTCTGCCTAACCAGATTCCGGGTCATCGCTCACGGTCAGGGTGCGGCCAGCACACCTGCGGGGAAGGCGAGGGGGGGGGGCGGGGACAACCCGGTGCCACTGATAATGTAATAAGTGGCGGAGTCCCGCTCGGGGTTCAGAGGGCAGCCCCCTCGGCATCACGCAGAAGCACGAGACTCACAAAGCTCCATCCCCAGCTCAGGGAGGGCTGCTGCAGACCAACCCCCCCATCCTCCCACACCCCACCTACTCCTCGCTGTGAGAGCTCCTGCACCCCGCCATTCCCTGTCCCCCGAGTTACGTTGGTAAGGGACGCTGCTCGCTGAAGAGGGCGGCCGACTTACTGATACGGACCGTCTCTCGTCATCACAGCCGCCTTCAGGGCAGCCTGTGCCCGTCACCACCGCCTCCCAAGGCCCCGGGTTGGAGGTGGTGCGTGCGTGCGTTCGTGAGTGCGTGTGTGCGTGTGTGTGTTAATTCAGTCTCCATAGAGACTGTCAAAAGGTGCCAAGGTTTCAAGTCGTCATGGCGGAGTATGGGGAGAAGTTTTCAATTAGCAATAATCGCCCCTTAGACAAGCCTCATTGGCTGCGGTACTGCCACTGTGCAGAGCCTGCTGGAGGTTTTGGCAATAACCGTGAGGAGGTCAATGGGTCATTCAGTTAAACTATTTATCCTTCGGTGCTGATCAGATTCAAATGCTCCCCGAGCCTCCAGGTAAGTCGCCACGGAAAGCGGGCGTTAGGCCCCTTGGGGTGAACCAAGCCCTTGCGTGCACCCAGAGATGAAGGCCCACGGAGGGTGGGCCCAGAGGGAGCTGTGCATCTGGAACACAGGGCCGATCTGAGGTCCATGCAGGCCTGACGCTCGATGACGCCACACTGCTAATGCCCCTGCGTGGACGGCGCTGAGCACCGAGGAGCCAGGGTGTGGCCCTCAGAAACGAACTGCAGGCTCTCAGCAGCTTCACGTGAGGCAAACCCGATCGGAAAAAGGGCACGAGCAACACCCCACCCGCTGCCAACGCTGTGGACTGCGGACAGGCAAGTCCTCCCGTGGCTCCCTGCCCGGCAGCCTTGCTGGCACGGACTGGAGGGGCCGCAGCCGCGGTGAAGGACAGGGCCGCTGGTGGGAGAGTGTGGAGCGAGGTGCACACCGTGGGTGGTGCTGCCAGGCCGTGCAGAGCCAGTGGCCGGCCCAGCTTAGTGACTGGCGGGCACGTGATAAACGGGGCAGCGGCGTGCGATGACCTGGCTTGGGGGGCGGAGCGGTCCTGATTTCAGTGCTTGCTGATCTCCGTGGTGCAAACACCCAGCTCCGACCCAACTGGTGAGCAGCAGCTCACTAAACTGAACGGTGAAGAGGAGCGGCAGGAGCTGAGCCGCTCCCCACGGGGCCCTTCCCCATCCCGGGCCCAGCTCCAGTCGGGGGGGGGGGGGGGGTGAAATGTCAGGGAGAAGGGAAGGCTTGTCTTAGCCACTGCAACCCACTCAGCGCCAAGCACGCTGGCGCAGCCAGGAGCTCAGTGACCTCTGCCTGAGTGAAGCTGGGAACGGCGGGAAGGTCCCTTCCCAAGCACCGGTTGTCCCGCAAGGACAGAAAACACCCTCGCTAATCAGACGTCGCTCCTCCCGGACCTCTTCCCAGCATAAAGCAAGCATCATTACCCTGGCCACCTCCCGAGAGGCCCTCGCTGTGTGCTGATGGAACACCCACCTGCCCCTGAGGTTCCCACCTGCCCCTGCAATTCCCACCTGCCCCTGCTGGTCCCACCTGCCCATGCTGGTCCCACCTGCCCCTGCGGTTCCCACCTGCCCCTGCAATTCCCACCTGCCTCTGCGGTTCTCAACTGCCCCTGCAGTTCCCACCTGCCCCTGCTGGTCCCACCTGCCCTGCTGGTCCCACCTGCCCCTGCTGGTCCCACCTGCCCCTGAGGTTCCCACCTGCCCCTGCAATTCCCACCTGCCTCTGCGGTTCTCAACTGCCCCTGTGGTTCCCACCTGCCCCTGCTGGTCCCACCTGCCCCTGAGGTTCCCACCTGCCCCTGCGAGCTTTACTCAGGGGATTCGGGTTTAAATGAGCCTTAGCTCTTAGCCACTTACCATGAAGGACCGGACCACGACGTCTGGCATCTGGGGCAGCTGGTAGTGCAGCAGGGCCGTGGTGGCGTGGTCTGTCACCTGGGGACCAAGGACAGTGACCGAGTTAGAGGCCATTCCAAATCCGCAGAGAAAACAAGACCCACACACTCCTTTCAGTGCAAACAAGTCTGCTTTTGCCCGCGCTGGAGGGAAGGCGTCGGCAATGAAATCTCAAGTGCCAGGTCAGTCTGCAGAGTGGGGGTGGGGGCAGAAAGGAAGGTGTCCAGGCCTGAAGGTGAGCGCAGCATGGAACATTCCAGCAACCTTAGGATCAGGAATGTGGCCACTTCTGAGGACCTTTCCCTGGCCCTCACTATAACTATCCTTCTGAGGCACCTTGTCCTGAAAGTATGGTCTCTCGCCAGCCCTCCGACGGGAGTTGTCCGTCTCAGCTCCTGGAGCCGCAGCCACCCCCCACCCCCCACTCCAAGCAGCCCCCACTCCAAGCAGCCCCCCAGTCTAGCCCTGCCCTGTCTCAGTGGCACTTCTGGAACACAGAGCCGATCTTGCAGGCCTGATGCTTGATGACGCCACCACTGCTAATGCCCACCATCCGCCAGCAAGTTCATAGGTCACATCGAACTTGACTGTTATGCCCACACATGGTTTATGCGACTGTCCTCATTGGGGGTGCTTGCATTACAGACGCTGCGACACTCGGTGCACAAGAAAGACAGTGGTCCCCCTCGTGCCGACTCCCTGGCTCCCCCCACCCGCAGCGCACGTGTGATGCACTGAGGGCCTGAGAGCCGTTATGCACACCAGCCAGGTGGCAGCCAGAGAGCTGGCCTGGCCCCACTCGCTGAGTTGCCAATGATCCAGAAAGGAGTCCAGCTGTGGGCCCGCACCCAAGGCCAGAGGCCACGGCCAAAGCGTGAGGACCAGGCTCCCCAGCTCACAGAATGCTCAAAGACCCTCTCCAGGCCTCAGTTTCCCTGATACAATGGCCATGCACGCAAAGCCCGCCTCCCGCCCCTCCTGCTGCCCTGGGCCTGTGACTTGGCCTCTGCCCACTGACCCTCATGGCTGCTTGGAGGCTGGTGAGCCCCACTAGGTGGACACTCCGGGGGCACGGATCATGCCCATCTGGTTTGTGCTGCGTCCCCCAGGCCCAGACATCACCTGGCATCTAGCAGGTGCTCAGTATGTATTTGCTGAATAAGAAATAAACTTAAAAGTGCCCACTCACCAAAGGCCACACACCAGAAACACCTGCCTGGCTTTCCTGCAAACGCAGTGACTGTCGGGGTAACCGGCGCTGCTTCTTCAAGTGCAAAGACTGATTTTAGTTTAAGCCTCCTGACAGAGAGCTTTCTAAAACCTCTGTACACAGCAGTGACGGTAACTGGTAAAGGGCGGTGGTGAGTGGTGTGGTGGAGGTAATCGCTGCAAAACTGCAAAGCTCACTCACTCGGCCCAGTGGTACCTGAGCCCGAAAGCTCGCTTCCTCCCCATCCCGATGCCTCGCACTAAACCTCGCAGGTGCCACTTTATAGGCTGAGGAGACAGTCTTCACAACCACAGGATTTCTGGAGAATTCTTTCTCCTGCACCTTCCATTCAGTTCATAAAGTGCCCCTAATAAAGCCCCGCCCCCTCACCACCACGGTCACAGCAGGGGACCCGGCCTGCTGTCCCCTAGCCTGGGTGTCCTCCTTCCCAGCCGTGGAAGGGCCCCTCCAGCCCCGGAGCCCCCAGGGGGGAGCCTGGATCTGCACTTCAGCAGCCTGAGCACCTGGCCTGGGCCCAACTCCCAGTCAGACTGCCCCCCAGAGGCCACGGCCGAGGCCATGGCCATGGCCAGGATGCTTTGTTCAGATGCACAGTATCTTCGCTTTCCTGTTGACAATTTTTAACACAAATGGCCAAATATAAGTTCAGGAAACTTCACCCAACTCAGATCCCCGGCTTCTCCTGCAGTATCAGATCTGGGGGCAGCAACCCGTGCCTGCCCCGAGGACCAGTGTGAGTAGAAGTGAGTCCCGCCATGTGACACGCTGGCCCTCACACAGCCACGTGGCCACCCTCAGTGTGAGTCCAGGTGGGGTGGGCCCTGTGCCGGCCCCCAGGGCGTACACCAGCCTGCTTCACCATGCTGTGCGCCTGGCCCCCGTGGCCTTCGGAATTTAGGGCATTTCCCCAAGATCCTGCCAAGAATCTCTGCCCAGAATCCTCTGCTCATGGAGTGCCTGGCCTGCGCCCACCTCCTCCTCCTTTCCTTGGCTGACCTCGGGACTTGCCCGCTCCTGGCTGTTTGATAACTGCCTTCCGGAAACATCTAAAGCGCGCTCGCCGACCTGCTTCTCCTCCGGCTGCTCAGCGACGGTAACACCACCTGCCCAGGGGTCTAAGCCAGCGCCTGGGCTTGTCCATGGCACACACTCAAGTCTCTGGGCGCTGGGGTGACACATCCTCTACCTCGATTCTCCCTGCTTCTTCCCACACCTGTCTAAGCCCTGCTGCTCCTCCCAGTCCTGACTCAGCGAGGCACTAGCAGGACCTGCGGCCCCGGGGCAGAGGCTGTGGGCTCTGGAGGGCTGAACGGGCCTCCACCTCCCAGCAGTGCCACCTGGGGCGGGCATGCAGCTTTTCTGGCTGCAGTCTTCCCATCCGGAAAATGGGATAACTGACAACACCTGCCACGTGGGCTACTTGTGAGCACTCAATCAAACAGTTCGTGCAGGGCAGGCTGTTTGATCAACATTAGTGGCTATTCAGCCAGATCTAAACATGCCCTCACTGTGAAGACCCTCTCAGGGTATGAGTGCACACAGAACAGAATCCTCCTCTCCTCCCCCCTCTGCTGAAAACGCCGTGGGTCCTCGAGTGTCCCCCCAGCTCCCATCCCCCTTTCGGGCCAGTTCAGATCCATGTGCTCAGGGAAGCCTCCAAGAATCCCGAGGGGACATAGCTCAGGCTCAGATCATTTCTGCCGCGGCATTCCTCGGGACCGAATGTGTATGATTACTCTTTGCGACTTTTGTTTACTGTTTGCGACTGAGTTGACGTGAATTCTGAGAGGCAGAGCCTGTCGCGCCCGACCCGGAGGTTCCTGGCCTGCGTGCCGGCTGGATGGTGCACTCCGTGGCTGAGCCATCAGGGAGACCGGCTCTTGTGAAGTGTGTGGGGGGCAGAGAGCGAGGCCTCCACGGGCTGGGACGGATCGGAGCCAAGGACTCTGGGCCCTGGCCCACCGGGCCGCCTGGGAATCCTGCACACTCTTGGCTGGGAGCGTGGGGCTCACCCTTCAGGCTCTGAACTTCCCAGTTCGGTCGGGCCACGGGGCTGGCCCAGCAGACGCACCGGGACAGGGACGGGTGTTACTTCCCTTGGAGCCGGAGAAGGCGAGTGTGGATCTCTGCCCTCCCCCTGCCGGTCGGGGCCACGCTCAGGTGGACTCACAGGTGGGGGTGCCTTGCTGAGCCTGGGTCCCGAGTGATGGAAGCCCAGCTCTCGGGCGACTTGGGGGTGTGCAGTGTGAGCAAGAAGTAAAGTGGTTGTTGGAGTGACAGACTGAGAGGCTCATCTGTCGCAGCAGCACTACCGTCCCCTTCTCCCAGCTCTTCCTCCGGACACTGCTCGCCCACCCGCCAGGGGAGCCAGGCGCCGGTCAGGCCTGCAAGGTTGCCCTGTGGCGAGGACGTTCCCTCCAGGAACAGCTGCCTGAGATGGGGTTCGAGGACCATGCACTGGCCTCGCGAGCTCTGGGCCCTGCCGGAATCGGGACCAGGGACTCTGGGCTGGGCCCAGCACTCAGCCAGCCTCTGCAGCTATTCTTAGGGATCAAAATGCAGGAGGGTGCAAACGGCAATGAGCACAAGTCCCCGGGGCCTGCTCCCTGGCTGATGCTGACTAAGGGTGGGGTGGGGCTCCCCCAGACTGGACTTTCCTACAGACTCTCAATCGCCCCTTGTCAGGGAGGGGCGGGCCTCCAGCAGCCAGGAGGTGGGGTCCAGGCACTGGGGTGGCGGGGGGTGGGGGTAGGGGTGGGCCCTTGGCTTTTGAGTCTGTGCACAAAACCAAGGAGGGCAAATCTGAAGGGGAGTGTGTTGTTTTCAAGAATCAAGGTAAACGTGGCTGCTGAAATGTCACAGGGTGCCGTGGAGTGGGGTGCCGTGGAGTGGGGTGCCGTGGAGGGGGGTGCCGTGGAAGGGGGTGCCGTGGAGTGGGGTGCCATGGAGGGGGGTGCCGTGGAGGGGGGTGCCGTGGAGTGGGGTGCCGTGGAGTGGGTGCTGGCAGCGTGCGGGGTCCTCCTACTCCCAAAGGTGCCTTTTCAGGACCTCGCGGGGTTACTTACTAACCAAGTCACTGCATTCATGGGGCCTGTATGCTCGTGCCCCTCACACTTTGTCCCCATGGCAACTAGCTGGGTGCCTTCTTTATTTTCATTTTATAGAAGAGGAAACAGACTTACAGCGGGGAGGGCGATGGCTGTCTGAGCCTGTGGCCTCCCTCCCTGCAGATGCCCCTGGCACGTGCCCAGGTGCCCAGGATGCCATCTGCCCCCCCCCCCCCCCCCCCAGCCCGTGGCGTCTTCGGGCAGCCAGAGTCCCAGCTGAGGCCAGGTTAGAAGCTCTGTCACGTGGCCACTACCCAAGAGCGGGAGAGAGTTAACTGGGGAGTGTTCTCCAGACTTGGAGTCATGCTCCCAGCTCTGCTCTGGCAGGCGGCTCCCAGGCAGGCGCCTACCTCGTCTTCCCATCACTGGGTCGTTTTCCAACCCAGGTTGCAGGCTCGCTTCCAAAAGGCCCAGCGAGACGTAGTCCTTCAACTGCCAAACGGTCACGGTTTTCTCTGCGCACAGGAGCATTTAATCTCTCCAGCCTCCCCATCAGCAGGTACAGGGGTAAGTTAATAGAAGGAAGCGAAGCGGACTCTGGCGGTTTCCCCTCCCTTCCTCCCAAACTCCTCCACGCTGGTTCCTGGTGCCCATGACCGAACTTCAAAGCGCCAGGCAAGACAGGGCTGCCGAAAGCTGGAGAAATTCACCGGAAGGAGCGTCCTTCTTGTCAAAGCCGTCCGTCGCCTGCAATATGTTTTTGTTTTACACTTTTCAACAACAAAGGTTTTTTTTGCTCAGCATCCAAGACAGAAAAAGGGGGCCTGGGGCAACATCAACAACAAAAACTTGCCATGAAGTAATTTAAATCGACTCCAGCCCAGCGAGGACAGGCGCCAGGTGTATGGAAAGCTAATGAGACTCCCTGGGAGATGAAAGCCGCCGCAGAGGCTGAGGAAGGGCACTGCTCCGAGAATGGAGCCATTCACAAGCCAGCGGGCGGGGCTGAAAGCGCGAAAAGACCTACCGCTTGGCCTGGGTGATGTCCGGCGCCCGCCAGCAGACGCGCTTTGTCTTTTCTCCCTCCGCCGCCAGGGCTCACAGATCCCCCCAGGCGCAGGGAACCCAGCTCAGAGAAGAAATCTTTCAGGAGACCTTGAAACAGCTGCCAGTCACCACACTGGAGGAGCCAGCAGTCAAAACAAGTGTCCCAAAGCGCCGCCACCATACTGTGCGCAAGGAGTGGCGACGCCTTCACGCCCGGGATCTGAGCGCTGGAGGGCACCCCGGAGATGACAAGCTATTTTAGCTGCACCCCCAGCGGAGCTGCCTGCTCACTGAGCACCTGCCCCGGGCAAGGGCTGGTCCCCACCCACAGCCCGGGGAGGGGGAGGGCACAGGCTCTGGGGCCGACTGCACCAGCTGGGGTCCGGCCTGTCACTGAAAGCAGTGACCTTGGGCAGGGTTACATGTACTGGAAGGGAAGGCACTTGAACAGGGTCTGACAAAGAGCAAGCACTCCAGGTGGGAGGGGTCCCACAAGGACCTCGTGATGGCCTGTGAGAATTTCCAGTTCCCAGTCACAGGGAGGGGGACTGGCCTGCCCGAGCCCAGCAGCTCCTGAGCAGCCGGCAGGACTGTGCCTCAGGGGGTGCAGGGGGAGGGGCAATGGCCACTCCAGGCTTTCCCTGCGCCAGGGCAGGACTGTGCGTGTGTGTGTGTGTGTGTGTGTGTGTGTGTCCACTCCAGGCCGTTCCCGCACCAGGGCAGGACTGTGCATGTGTGCGTGTGTGTGTGTGTGTGTGTATGTGTCCACTCCATGACATCCCCGCACCAGGGCAGGACTGTGCCCAGGGTGTGTGTGTGTGTTTGTGTGTCCACTCCAGGCCGTTCCCGCACCAGGGCAGGACTGTGCGTGTGTGTGTGTGTGTGTGTGTGTGTGTGTTTGTGTCCACTCCAGGACGTCCCCGCACCAGGGCAGGACTGTGCCCAGGGTGTGTGTGTGTGTATGTGTCCACTCCATGACGTCCCCGCACCAGGGCAGGACTGTGCCCAGGGTGTGTGTGTGTGTATGTGTCCACTCCATGACGTCCCCGCACCAGGGCAGGACTGTGCCCAGGGTGTGTGTGTGTGTATGTGTCCACTCCATGACGTCCCCGCACCAGGGCAGGACTGTGCCCGGGGTGTGTGTGTGTGTGTCCACTCCAGGCCGTTCCCGCACCAGGGCAGGACTGTGCATGTGTGTGTGTGTGTGTGTGTGTGTGTGTGTGTGTGTGTATGTGTCCACTCCATGACGTCCCCGCACCAGGGCAGGACTGTGCCCGGGGTGTGTGTGTGGGGGTGTCCCTACTCCAGGCCTTCCCCACGCCAGGGCAGGACTGTGCCCGCAGTGCCGAGTGGCCCTGAGCCTGACCAGGCTCCAGAGTTCCACATGCTCTCCCTGTGCAGCGGGACAATGGCATGACTCCATTGTCTGTCCGCATACGCCCCACCCCTGCTAAGCTAGGAGAGATGGGGCTTCGGGTTAGAAGTACGTCCTGCAAGATTAGTAAACAGGGAAAGTGAAGCCCCGAGTGTTTGGAAAGTTGCGTATTGAAAAGAGGAGCCTGCTAGACAGCCGACTGTGGCGTCCCGCCAGCCGACACCTGCTGCTGCCCACCGTGAGGAGCGGCCCTCTGGCCGCAGCAACGAGCACAGAGGCAGCAGGCGGACAGCAGGGACAGAGCTGCTGGAGACGGGCTCCGGCCCACATCCTCACTATCTGCTGATCCGGCTGCATCGCCACTCCCCGCAGAGGCCCTTGGGATGAGAGCGGCTGGGGTCAGGTGGCTTCAAGGCCTGACCGCTCACCCTGAGGTGCACCTGTGCCAGCAACTCCACCCTCGCCAGCCAGTGACATAAAGTCCTTCTCTCCAAAAGAGCAAGCCCATCCCCGCAGGCAGCAGAGGTGTGGGGCCCATTCTAGGAGCTACCTGCCGCGCAGATGAGCCCTCCCCCTCCTGCCCCCACCCTGCCCCTCAGCAGCACCTGTGGACGCCCCGGCTGTGCGTGTCTGGCCGGTGACAGGAGCCCCGGCTCGCCCAGGCCGTGCACTGCGTGGGGAGGAGGCTCAGGGCCTGTGCGGCGAGGCGGGTGCTCAGCAGGGCCCGCACGGCAGCCCTAGCCTTGCTCCAAGGGCGGGCCTGTCCTCTGGGAGCTCCCCTGCTGGGATCTGGAATTAGTGACCAGTCAGGTCTGTCACACACTCTCCGGGGACAACCGATGCTGGTGCCCGGCGCGTCCAGTGTCAGAGAAGGCCTCCTTAGGGGTGACCCCGTCTCCGACTGATAGCGCCTGGTTGCTACTCGGCAACACCCCGAGAGTCTACCCAGAGGCCGTCCCTGCCCGGGACCGTGAGTGAGTGCATGTGTGAACGTGTGAGTGCGTGAACATGTGTGTGGACGAAGCTGCAGTGCAGCCTGCCCCGGCATCACCCCCACCGGGCCCCACCTGGCACAGCTGGCGGGCGGGCTGGGGGCGCCTCTGCCTCCCGGGCCCAGGACAATGGCGGAGGCTGAGAGCGGCCTCCTGGGCTCCAGCCTTTGTGCTGACCCCGCGGGGCAGGCTATGAAGCTGTGCCTGTCGCTGACACTGCCTCTGCGCCACCTGCTACCTGGGCTGCACCCCCCAGTCCTTGCCCTCCCTGCCAAGATTAACGCAGGGAGTAGCTGCGTGCTGCCCTCCCGCGTCCTAAGCTACTGGGTGGAAACACAGTTTTGAAACGAGAAGGTTAAAGATCCCACCAGTGACTGCCCCTGCGGAGCGTAAATGCCAGAGAAACACGGACACACCGAAGCCTTTCTGGCTCTTTGTCCTCCTGCCCTGTGCTGCCCGACCCCCCCCCCCCCCCCCCGCCCCCGGCCCCAGGCGCCTTTCTCTGGATCCGCTGCTGGAGGCTGGCTGGCTGGGAAGAGCCTCCTGGCCCCGAGCGAAGTGCAGGGAGCCTCTGATGAGACTGTCGGCAGCCGGGGGGAGGGGGGGGGGGTGCGGCGGGAGAGACACGGACTAATGAGGAGGAAGGAAAGGGCTGCCACTGCTTTACGCACAGGAAATGGGACAGGACCTGGTGTGCGGGGCTTTAGCCAGGAGAGGCTTGGCCCCAGGAGGAGTGGACAGGGGTGCGCTTCTCAGCCCCTGGCACTGTTTTCCAGGAAGGAGGTGGCGAGGCGAGCGGGACACACTGTTACTTCAGTGGGAATAACATGGGCACAACTTTCAAAATTGCATCCCTCGCCCTAGCTAGTGTGGCTCATCGGCCTGCAGACTGAAAGGTCCTGGGTTCGATTCCAGTCAAGGGCACATGTCTGGGTTGCGGGCTGGATCCCCAGCTGGGGGGCGTGCAAAAGGCAGTCAACCAATGATCCTCTCTCATCTCTGATGTTTCTATCTCTTCCTCCCTCTCCTTTCCTCTCTGAAATCAATATAAATATATTTAAAAAAACAAAACAAAATCGCATCCCTCCTCCGCTTCCATCCCTTCAGTGTTCCTCACTGGATCGAGAAGGAAATCCAAGTTCCGCACCAGGACCTGGGAGACATGCTGCGTCGGCTCTGTCTCCCCCCCCCCCCGCCCCCCCCCTTCCCCGCCCGCCACACGCTCAGCCCGCAGGCTCCCGGCCCTCCAGGCTCCCAGCACCAGGCTCTGGGCTGCTGCTTCCATCCTGGGACCTCTTCCCAGGCCATCCATGTGGCTGTTCCTTCTCACCTTCCTGCCTCAGGTGAGTGTCTGCCCCGAAAGGCCTCCCTCCTGTGACGGCCCCAAGGTGAAGGGGCCCTCCCTGCTGCTCTTGATAGCAGCCCCAGTGACACCCTGAGTTATGTCACTGCGCTTCCCTGTCTGTCCCCCCAGATTCCTAGCAGCTGGCACGGTGCCTGGCACATGGCAAAGGAGCCCAATTCATAGCTGTGGCTGAACTGGAAGCAATGAATGAAATGACAACAACTTTGCTGTCTGCATGGCTGGATGGAAGCAGAGGATGGACGAGGACAGAGGAAGCGGCAGTGCCCCGTGGGGGGCGGCCCGAGGGCCGGGGAGGTGGGGGGACCCTCCCACGCCCAGGGGTGGAGCTGGTTCAGACACGGCCCTCCCACCAGCAGGAGCTGGAACGTGGACTTTCCTGTAATATTTCCCAAACAGTACTTCACGGGAAGCCCAGCCTCTGAAAAAGATGGCACCAGTGGAAAGGGAACGAACGGGTAGGTGCGGGCGGGCCGCCTGCCTCCTGGGGCCCCTAAGGGAACCCATGGGCCACAGGCTCGGAGAAGCTGAGCACAGAAACCATGGCTGAGCCCGAGACAACTCAAAAGACTCTGACTTTTTAAAAAGGAATAATTTACAATACGAAGCTTGCCCTTTGCAGGTTCTAGTCCATTAGCTCTGACGCACACACCGTGTAATCACCGCAACGACACAGAATGTTCCCCTCGGGGCCTGGGACCAGCTCCTGCCGCTCCGGCCCTGGGAACTCGGATCTGCTCTCTCCTCAGGTTTTGTCTTTTCCCGTCACGTAAGCGGCACCGCACAGTGGGCAGCCTTTTGCCTCTGGCTTGTGCTTGTTCCGAGAGGCTGGGATGAAAGACCAGCGTTGACACCTCAGAGCATCCGCACTCCCCTCAGTCCTCCTGAGCAAGAAGCCGAGAGCACAGCTTACCTTCTGGAACACTTGGTAGTTGGACTTGGACCATATATCCAGCTGTGGGGAAAGGGATAAAAGTATCGTCAGTGTCAATTTTAGAATCCAGACTTCAAAACACGATGCTCTAGCTACTGCTGCTAAGCTTGAAAAAATAAGACATGATTATAGAGCAACGACCCCGGGTTGGAAGGATTTAGGATTTAAACGTTCCGCCTGAGGGTCTGCTTTACAGCGTGCTGGTGACTTGAGGAGCCTGTTGAAGGGATCCCAAGTAACTGTGACGGCTGCTCAGGTCAGAGCCTGTGGCCAGGGCGCCCGGCCTCGAACCCGGGGAACGTGGAGGTCCAAGAGGAAACGTGGGCAGGGCTCGGCGTGAACCCAGGCCAGTCCTCCTCTGGCCACACTGGGTCCTACACGGGGCACTTCACGGCAGTCTCACCAAACCTCCCTGGTCTTACAGGTTTGCGTGAATCAAATTGATGCCCCTCACTATTTCAAGAACAAGTGAAGTCTGGCGAACAGAAGCACCCAGAGCAGACGGGAGAGCTCAGGACGGTGCAGCTTAGCGGGGCCGCCAGTACGTTCCGTGGCACTAAAGAGACAACTTTAATACACAAGGTCAAGAGTTGAGCAAATTGAAACACCTGGTCGATGGGCCTCCTGCAACCTGCTTCTGGGGTTGGCCGGTGGTCAAGGGGGACCTGAGACACAGCTGTTTGAGCCTGTGCTGTGGCATTGATTCCAGAGAGGGTGGGAGCAGGAGCAGCAACCAGCCGGAAGATTGCTCTAAGACAGGAAGTGAAGGGTTGCATTTGACAGTGAACACACAACACTTGGCCTTCTGAAAGTAGTCCTTGGAAATTAAACGCTGGGCTGTGGCCCTGGCTGGCGTGGCTCAGTTGGTTGGAGCATCGTCCCATGTGCCGAAAGGCTGCGGGTTAGATCCCCAGTCAGGGCACATACCTGGGTTGTGGGTTCAGTCCCCGGGCTGTGTGGCAGGCAAACAATTAATGTTCTCTCTCACGTACGGAAGGCAACTAACTGATGTTCTCTCTCACGTCGATGTTCCTCTTTTCCTCTCTCTCTCTCTCTCCCTCCCCCTCTCTCTAAAATCAGTAAGCATGTCCTCGGGTAAGGATTAAAAAGGAAGGTTGGGCTGTGAAGACAGGCACCACTCTCCCGGCTCCTTCCGGCGCGGTCAGCTTTATGTAACTTTCATGTCGGAACCCTTTTGGGGCAGCGGAAGGTCCAGGACCTCTGACCCCTGCAGGGCTCCTGCTGGGCAGGGTGGAGGTTTCGCTGACCCAAGTCCAGGAAACGTCATGGAAGAATCTGATCGACTGAACAACTGTTCAAACCCCTTTCCCTCGCCCTGCGGTCCCGTCCCTTCCTGGACTCCCACATAACCCGGCACCTCTCCTTCTGTCTGGCTAACCGACTCTCACAAGGGCACTGACAATTTCCAAACCCCACCCCCAGTTAAACCAGTTGATGGGGCAACACTTTAAAAAGTCTCTTGGCTTCGACTTTTAATTTGACAGGTTTGCAAGTTCTAGGCCAGTGGTCGGCAAACTCATTAGTCAACAGAGCCAAATATCCACAGGACAACAACTGAAATTTCTTTTGAGAGCCAAACTTTTTAAACTTAAACTATATAGGTAGGTACATTGTTATTAACCTAATTAGGGTACTCCTAAGGCTTAGGAAGAGCCATACTCAAGGGGCCAAAGAGCTGCATGTGGCTCGCGAGCCGCAGTTTGCTGACCACTGTTCTAGGGGAAAGTGACATGCTACTTCCAGGTAAGTCTGAAGGAAACCCTGAAGAAACATGGATTCCCTACATAACCACTCCCGAGGCAGGGTGGCCCGCTGGGCGGCTGGTCGCCTCGGGGGGAGTCGGGTCAGTTCTATTCCTAGGGAAGCAGTGCAGCCCAGGTCTTAGAACACGTTAAAGACCATCAGCCGAGTGAACGACGTTCTGTGTCTTTAGTTCTAACAGATCACCGCCAAGATGACAGGAAGATGACAAAGATCCCAATCTAAATTCCAGGAAGAGTAACCTCCATGTCTGGGCTTGGAGCTGATCGATTCTCCTGCCGTTCTCGCCTGTCCCTCCTGCCTGCCCCCACCGCACAGGGCGCAGCAGGACAGAGACACGGGCCGGGGAGAAAAGGAGGAGTCTGCACACAGATGGAGGGGTTGAAGTTTTAATTTAAAAGATGAAATTAAAAAACACACACACACACACAAAACTTCAGCAAAATGTTTCAATGGAGAAATCCGAGGGGAGCCGGCTGACGGAAGAGCCCACTGGCCGGCCTCATGGGCCCGAGAACACACGTGTTATGGGCCGTGCGCTGCTCCTTCTGAGCGGGGCCTACGCGCATCCAGGCCCCGGGGAGCGCAGGACCATCTGGGACAGGAGACGCTGGACAATGGCCCCGTTCACCAGGCGCACGGTAAGAAAAGGACGGTAACAATGGGTCCGGTTCTGCCAGGAAGGCCAGCAGGCGGCTGCACTTGATTTTCTGCTAGATTTACGCCAAAGAAAGCATCTCATCAGCGCCTGGGGTCGGTGCGCCTCTCCTCGGGGCCAGAAGATTTTGGAAATTCATTTCCGGGAGCCACGTCTGACCCAAATGAATATTCATTAGCTCCAGCTTCTAGGCTGCAAGGCAGAAGGACTATGGACTTGGCTTGCTATGCATTCAATGGGAGCTTCTGGAGGCTGCAAACTCCTAGCTGATGCTGAGAAACTCCCTCAGTGCCCTGAGAAGGCGCAAAGCCCGCAGCATCGGGGCCCAGGAAGGCCCTGTGGGGAAAGCCAGCCTCCTGCGACCTGAAGGGGCTGGACACGCAGCCTCGAGCAGCCTGTGGCTCTGGGGCCGGATGAGCACTTCAGGGAGGGGTAGCGCGTTCCCAGGGAGATTGCACCAGATCCCGGGGAACCACCTGTTTCACACACATCTACCCGAGGAAGAACTAGTGACAACAGTGACAGAAACTTACTTAAGGAAGAGACATCAGCATCACCTAACATGGGCAGGCCAGGGAGTCTAACTACCGTGATGGCCACCGCCAATGACCTCTGCCACCGCCAATGACCTCTGCCACCGCCAATGACCTCCGCCACCGCCACATGACCTCCGTCACCCCGTGGCAGGTGCCTCTTATGACAGCTCTGCACTCAGCCGCAAGGTACCCTCGCACAAGGATGATAAGACACTGAGGCGCAGGGAGTTGAGCCACTTGCTTAACATCACCAAGCGGATGTGTGATGGAGGATCAGAAACCGGGCCTGTCTCCAGAGTCCCAGCTCCTGCCCGCGCAGGAAGACGGCCTGCAATGGAATTCAGAGGGGGCGGCTCAGAGCCCCGCGCTGTCCCCGGCCTTCAGCGAGCGCCCTTGCGAAGTGCAACCTGACAGATCTGCTTCAGGACCGCAGATGGGACAGTCGTCAGCACCACAACCCACTTAGCAGCCAGGGGGGATGTTGGCAGCTCACCAGAAAGTTATCAATTCTTCATTTCAAAAAATAGTGCAGAGAACTAAAAATTACCTAAAACTGACACTTCCAAATAAAACTGGCAAGCCTCCGGGACTTCAGCTTTTAAAGCTTTTATTTATCAGCAGCTTCATCTCGTGAGGTCAAGAGGTGGGCGTCAGTAGGGGTAGGATGCCACAGACCAGCAATGGTGAGGGTTTCTCCGTGGTTTCCGAAACCATGAACCTCCCTTTGGTGGTCTCTGTATGCCCGCCCACCGCCCTGGGGAATGAAAGAGGGACCCAGCCTCACCAGACGCGGTGACAGGTCTGCTACTTGAGAACTTCTCACTTCCAATCAGGGCGCACGCACATCTGTTACTAAAGCTGCAGCGAGCACAGTCGCAGGGCCTCCTCTGCACGGATCCGTCCCCGCCCAGCGGTGCCCGCCCCAGCGGTGCCCTTCCCCCACCAGGAACAAGAGGCCCCTGTTCTGAAGGTCGTCTGAACAGTTTCAAAGGCTCTAACAAATCAAAACGTTCCCTGCATCTAATATCAAACGGGGCTGATGCCAACTCTTATTAGAGGAATCAGATTCAGCTTCCCCGGCCCAAACACACACACACATCCCACTTTGAAGTGGGAGAAGGCAGGGATCAGCGTCACCCTGGGGACAGCGCGGGCTGTCTTTGAAGGCTCCCTTTGATACCCCCCTTTCCCTCTTCGCTAGGAGGCTAAAGGCAGCCTTAAAAAGTGGCTAAGGGGTAATTAATGAAGCTATAGCACGAACATAACCTAAATCCCCTAATAAGATAGACTCGACCGAGACGTTTGCACTTTCCCAGGTAAGTCTGACGGGTGTAAAACGAGGACAATGCCTGGAACGTGCCGAGTCAGGCTCTGGGCACCTCCCAGATGACACCGAACTCCAGGTGAGTGAGTCTGAGAGCATTTTCCTATTTTATTGGAGGAATTAGCCACAGTGCTTGGTATCAAAAGTGTGCACTGCAGGTGAGGGGACAGGGTGACTGGGGCAGTGGAGGTGGGTGTTACTGCGAAGTGACAGCCCGGTGGCCCTGTGGTGGGGAAAGCCGCGGGCGTGGCAGTGGGTGGGGCTGGGCCACTGCTGCCTGCAGCTGTAGAGGGAGCAGGGCCTCCTGCATCCCCGTGGTGATAGGGAGCCCGGTACGGTGCCGGTTTCTGGACACACATTCTCTCTGATGAACGGAGAGCCCACACCAACCACTCATTAGGAAAACCCGCGTGCGTGCCTGTGCGTGTCCTTTATTCTCAACCCACACTCCACTCCCTGCTGCTTCCTTTAGTTCCCACCTCTAATTGTTCACTCTCCCCTTTCACTCCAGGGAAAGCACTTTCACACCCCAGGTGGGCTTTCTCCTCCCCGTCCCGCCCCCCCTATCCCCCCCCCCCATGTCACTGGGCTGTGCGCCAGGCCCTGGGGTCTATCCTTGAGACACTCAAGGACAGCTTGTGTCCTCAGGAGCCACGGACAGGGGGAGGGCTGAGCTCTGGCTCAATATGACAGTAGGTCTCAGTTTCCTGATCTGGAAAATGGGTCTAGGATTCAGTAACCCCTGTAGGCAAAGCTTGCTTCAGCACAGTGCCTACCAGACCAACATACGGGTACTGTTAGTATTTTTGTTACCTGCAAGATAGACGTGGAAAGAAATTACCACGATGTACTAATTCTAGTTAGAGCAAAAGGGGGCTCCCACACTGTGGATGGAGTCGTGATGGCACTGCGCCGTGAGCGAGGCAAACCCAGGCTGCCGTCGCCACAGCTGTGCTTGCGAGAGGCCCCTGGGAAACGGGACAGAGTAAGAAGGAAGATGGCACTGAGCCGGGTAGCAGGAAGAGGGGAAGTTATCAGGTGGACGGGGAGGGCATGCACCCTGGGCTAAGGGCACAGAGGGTGCCAATGAGTGAGAGAGCGCCAATAACACCAAGGCTGAGAGGAGGACAGAAGGCGTGTGGCGAAGGAGGCAGACGAGGTCAGAAAGGATGACGGGCCAGCTCGCTAGATGCCTGGCTGAGGAGTTTGGATTTTATTCCACAGCCAGAGTTTTCTGCAAACTGCCAGTGTCACAATGTGCTCTCCGAGTAAAGGGAGAAAGCGCTTGGTGGTCACATAGGTAGAACCCTGCACACTGCCCACCCCTCGGGAGACGCACGAGCAGAGCGGCCCAGGCTCTACAAGCTCCTGCAGCGAAGAACCCGCCGAACCCTCTCAAACTCCCTGACCGCAGGCTGCTCGGTGCCCAGCAGCCAACTCCCCGTTTCCTGCTCTGGGCGATGGGAAGATGGCGAAAAGCAATCGCATTTTGGGAAGACAGCTCTGGGAGCCAGGGAAGGACAGACTGGGGAAGTAACCTGGAGACTAGACGTGAGCCGCTAGTGCGGGGACTCGGCTGAGAGGCAACGAGCTGGAAAGGAGTGGAGGACAGGAGGGGCCCACTGGAGGGACATGTAAGGAGGAGGACCCGCCGACAGACTAGATGGGGGGGCGGGGAGGCTGAGCAGGTAGATGGTGGCACCACTGACCAAGTGAAGGAGCCGTGGACGGAGCCTCAGTTTAGGGGGGATGATGAGCTGAGCTTGGGTCCATCTGGAGAGAAGAGGGGTGACACAAGTCAGTCCAGGAGTGACTGGTGTGGGTGCCACGTGGGACCTCCGGGGGGATGAGAGGCCAAGGCACGAGCAAGGAGAAGAGGCCCGGAACCCGGGCGTGCAGGGGAGAGGCGTGGGCGGTAGCGACTGATGAAGTCAGTTTTTTTTTTTTTGCTAATCCTCACCAGAAGGTATTTTTCCCGTTGATTTTTAGAGAGAGTGGAAGGAAGAGAGGGAGAGACACACAGAGAGAAACATACATGTGAGAGAGACACATCGATTGGTGCCTCCTGCACGCCCCCTCAACCAGGGCAGAGGATCGAGCCTGCAACCGAGGTACGGGCCCTTGACTGGAATCAAACCCGGGACCTTCAGTCCACGGGCCGATGCTCTACCCACTGAGTAACCCGCCTAGGGCTGTCACCTCTTTTTAAGAAAAACGTTTTCTCCTCATCATAACGTGGCTGTTGGGTGTGAGTGCTGGAGTGACCACACATAGGTTTACGTGGGACTCATGGAGAGAAAGGACAGCCCCGAGGGGCCAACGGCCCGGGTGCTGGGGGGCACAGGGTGTGTCGGAGTGGTGTCTCGGGCAGAGCACCCATTCTGCTCTGGGAGCAGGCACAGTGCAGGCTGCCAGCGCCCATCAGCGTCTCTCACGCTCGCCACAGAGCCATGTGGACAGTGCGGTGACGGGAAACTAGGGGCTCACGAGGGTGAACTTTCCATGAAGCAAGTCACCCACAGAGGAACCCGCCTTGGGTCAGGCGCATGGCTCAATGGAGCCGCTGCGGACAAGCTGCGTCCTGCGCTCCCTGTTAGTGTCCCGGAAAGATGGGTGGCAGCTTGTATGGCGAATTGGATTTTCCTCATGGTTTTGGGAAAAGCTAAATGCCGGGCCACGGGCTACTATGCTGCGAGACGAGGCAAAAAAAAAAAAAAAGGGGAAGAAAGAAAGAAAAAGGAAAAAATCCCTTTTCTCAGAAGACACATTTAATGAGGCACCTGGGGTCTAAGGCGATAAATCAGAAATTCAACTGAGGGCGTCGGCCGAGAGGAGAGCGGGGCCTGCGGAGACGGGGAGAGGGTGTGCTGCGCGCTCTTCTCCACGCAGACACGGCATGTCGCCCGTCACCTCGGCCTCATCACGCTGCTTAAGCCGCTTGGCGGGGGCTCCTCCACGGGGGCTCCGGGACACGGACAAGAACGGAAAACCAATGAGAGGCCGCCCGCCTACCTTGCCGTCTTCTGTGTAGACGTTCTCGTTGTAGCCCTTCACGATCGTTCGGTCAATGAACAGGCTCCGCATGACGACAATCACTTTCAGCACCTTTCCCAAGGTCACCTGCCAAAACACGTGTGCAAACATGAGCACCAGCCTGAACATGCAAATCACACACAGCTGGGCAAGATGATGAGGAGGCGACGCTGGGCTAGCCCTCCTGTGTCAGAGGCACTGGGGGCCACGAGGGGGGCCACGAGGGAGGGCGTGCTGGCTGTCCCGCGCGCTAGCGTCCCAAAGCATTTAGTCCCACACTCCCAGCAACACAAGTTCTCCCTTCACCACTTAAAGATGGTGCAGGCCCCTCATCTTACCACCCGAGTGGTTTCTAACTGGCTCATAGCTGTCAGGACGAGCCCCAGGTGCTTGCTATCTGCGGGGTAAGGTGACCCCACCCAGGCTGGCCCTGACTCAGGCGCTCTCCAGGAGTCAACGAGCCGGGTTCTCAGGGCCGTCGTGGCCCGTGCACCCCCGGAGTCCAGGGAGCACAACAGAGATGACAGGCAGGCCCGGGTGCCCCTGGGGCAATCTGTGTACAGTGGCTGGTCAGAGTGGACGACGATACCCAATAAGTTCTGATCGTAAATGGAAAGTGGCTGAATTTTATCTCCAAAAAGGAACAGAATCCTGGAAATATATTTAAGTGCTTTTTCTCTTTTAGAATTTTCAGGAAGTATATGGATTAAAATATACAAAAATAGTGAGTGTCATATATGCCAGGGAATAGTGCCCGGCTGTGCCGGCTGGAGCCCCAGCACTCAGAATGGAAACGGCGCCTCCCTTTCCTGGGGCTCCCGTAACTCGTCTGACCCCTGGGTGAGACCCTGGAGCGAGTCCCGCGGAGGCCAACCCCACAGAATTGGCCAAAGGTCCCTGTTGGTCTGAGTGAGGACAAGAACCCCGGCCTCCCCAGCAGCGGACCCCCTGCGGCTCCAGTGTGCAGTCGGCTCTGGGGGCCGCCCCCGCTTTCCTTATTCCTCAGTCCTAGCGGTGGTCCAACTGCCTGTCCGCATAACAGCCTTCCTCTTCCCTGAATGTCCCTGATACCCTGTTCCTTCAATAGCTTTCAGTTCTGAGAGGGTGTCTCCGTTCTTGCCCAAAATGGCACAGAATATAAACCCGGCGAGAAAAAGGTGATGCACATATTTACATTTCAGAGAAAGTTAATAAAAACACCTTATTAAGTGTATAGTACTTCTTGTTACTGCTACACCACGTAACATTTAAAGGGTCATTTCTTACACAATTGGACACCACTGGCTAAGATGCCAATTAACCAGAGGCAGGAACAGCCGCTCTGTCCCCAGTTCAAGGCAGCTCCTTGGCAGGAAGGGGGTGAAGAAGGGGGGGTGGAGAAGGGGGAGGGGAGGAGGAGGCACCAAGTTGAGTTATAACTTTGTAACTCTAAGCACTGAAATGAAGAGCCTCCCAGAGGGTCCAGTGGCGGAGATGCTGGACCTCCTCCCGCAGGGCCACTGCTTTCAGCACATGTGAACTCTCCTCCGACGCCCAAGGGTAACCAAGCCACTGTCTCCGTAAAAGCACCTGAGTCGGGCTGACTTTAACTACCTGGTACACTGCCTTGGTAATGGCTCAAGCTTAAGAGGGAATTCAGGGAAACATACACACCACAGGTACTAGACATTTTACATTTAACTTTTTTTGCTTTGAAGAGTGACCTTTGGAATTTCAAAGTTACGACGATGTGAGCATTGCTCCGTCGTGGTGCAGGCCGCGGAGGCGGCATTCCGCGCGGCCTGGTTCTTCCGGTGGCTACACTGTGACTGCCCCAGCCATCCTGCTGGACATTAGCTGCTTCCACGGTTTCCCTAATACAAATACAGCCGCAACACACTTTCATTCACGAAGCCTTCAAGACATTTGGGATTACTTCTTGAGGACAGATTTGCAGAACTATAATTATTGAGGCAAATGGTACAAATATTTTAAGGTTTTTGATACAATCTGCCCATGTGCTAAGCACAGGGTTATGCCAACCAGAAAGGCACGAACACACCCATCTCAGTTTGCTCTCGCTAGCAACAGGTGCTATTAAAATAAAATAACACAAACTCACCCCTCCTGGAAGTACCAACTTAATGATTTAAGTCTTTTATTATAGAAGATTTAAAATAACATACAAATAAACGAAATGGTATAGAGAACTCTAGGAACCCGTCCCAACATCAACAATTGCAACTCTTCCCCCTCCCCCACCTACTTTCCCCTTTCTGCATGTTTAGTTAGTTAGTTCCCCTTTCTGTATTATTTTGAAACGAACAGCACAGAATAATTTTCACGTGTAAATATTTCAGTCTGCATCTCCAAAAGATACAGGCTCTGAAACAGCAAAGCCTCACCGTGATGCCATCCCATGTCTACAAACCAGAAATTTCCGTTATCCACACTCAGTGCAGTGAGCGTCTAATCCCCACAGCCTCCCACGGCACGTTCGTGAGAGTCTGCTGGTCCCAGGACCTGAACCCAGACACACTGTGACTGCCAACGCGTCTCCTAAGCCTCCCCTGAACGAAAGGCATCCTCTCTCAAACCCCCCCCCACCCCCCCGCCCAACCCGATTTGCTGACGAAACCGGTCATTCCCGCCAGTTTCCCCACAGCCTGGATTCTGCTGACGGCCTCCTGGGTGTGCTCGACATGTTTCTCTCACTCTGCACTTGCCGTAAATTGGTGATTAGATGGCATTCAAGCCTGACTCTGTGTGTCCAGGCTGCTTCCCAGGCGTGTTCCACTCCCCCCACAGGAGGCGTGCCCGGTTGGGTCTCAGTGGGGACCCGCTGACCCAGCACTGACCCAGCAGGTTCCACACGGCGGATTCCATGCGATCCCCCCCTTTCCACTCACTAGCGGGAACACTTTATACGAAAGCGTCCCCTCCCCTCCTGCTTGGCTACGGAGCGTAGGGCTCACTATGCAGGAAGAGCAGGGAAGGGCGCAATTCTTTTTCGTTACTTTCCAGTCTTTAAAACAGTGCCTCGGGCCGAAACTGGTTTGGCTCAGTGGCTAGAGCGCCGGCCTGCGGACTGAAAGGTCCCAGGTTCGATTCCGGTCAGGGGCATGCGCCTGGGTTGTGGGCACATCCCCAGTGGGGGGTGTGCAGGAGGCAGCTGATCGATGTTTCTAACTCTCTATCTCTCTCCCTTCCTGTCTGTAAAAAATCAATAAAATATATTTAAAAAAAAACACACAAAAAAAACAGTGCCTCGGCTCACGGGTTTCCTTCCTGCACACGAGTTCATTTTCCTCCCTGGCATGACCCTAGGCCAGGGGTGGGCAACCTTTGTGTGAGTGCGCGCCCGAACCAGCAAAATCTCTGACTCAACATTCTTCTGCGTGCCAACCCTAATTTTTTGAGAACATGTTACGCCTACTTGATATCTCTTAAGGTGTATGTATGTGAAGAACCTTGAAGAAATAATAAAATTCATTCGAGTGACAAAAACACAGTATATGATGATGAAAGATACATTTATTTTTCATGTATACATGTACACTGATAGTCCGACAGAAAACTGTATGACTCCGTTTGATATTATCAGTAGGACTTTTGTTGCTGCATCACTGATGACAGAGATTTTACATCAGGTTCATATTTCGTGACCTTCAGAGATATGCAGGAGCTACTACTTTCATCCGTCAGGCTACTCCTATTATGAGACTTAACAAAATTCATCACTGAGAACAAAGATTCACAAGCGTATGTGGATGAAACCAAAACACTGGTCGGATCTAGGAAGGCAGGAGAGTTAAGGCAGAGGCACAGAAATTGCTCTTCCCCTCGCTAGTCCATCCATGTCTATGGTCTTTAAGATCACTTGTTATGTAAAATTATTTATTTATCTAAGATGCACCTACACTGAATTTATCTGAAAAATAAAAAAGTCGATATTAAGAAAAAAACTGTAAATGGAAGATTATAAGAGAAGGTTTCGCGTGCCAGCAAAAGTTATTGGCGTGCTGTGTTTGGCACGCGTGCCAGGGGTTGCCCACCCCTGCCCTACGTGCTCAGATTTAAACGTATCTGCTGTGATTTTTGTCTGGTGCGATTATTATTTATGTTGATGCTCAACCTGTCCCGTCTGCGGCTGGAGGGGCACCTGCTCGACGTGGAGTCCCTCACAACCTGGTCCCTGGTGCCTCCTGCCGTGGGGCGCCTGCTGCTCCAGGCTGCCGAGGCCCCGTCCTCAGCGGCCCTGGTTCTCGTCCTGGGAAATGGACTGTAAGACCACAACCGGGGCAAGAGCTGCAAATGACTCTGACGGGTCCAATTCTTGTTAATTTCATGAACCTGCATCAGGGTGCGTAGCTCCTTCCCGCCTTTTTCTTGTCCTGGATTCACCTACACATGGAGCACCGCCATGCTGCACCTAGACTGGGCTGCGCAGGTGGCGGACAGCCAGTGCATGAGCCGTGCTCTGGTTCAGCCCCGCAGAGCTCCACGGCACGTGTCAGTTCTCAGGTGTGGGAGCCGGAGAGGACCTGGCGCTCAGCCAGGTGAAAATGCGTAGAATGAGAGCTTCTAAATGTTGAACACGGTCAATATGCAGCTCTGCACACAATTTTGAAGCTGGTGGTTTGAGGCCTTGGAGTTGGAGTCTCCGAGCATTGCTTCCCTCCTGACTAGTGGAGGTGAGGACAGCTCCGTCGCAGAGTGGCCACCAGGCGTCCACGAGGAGACGCGTTGGTGAGGGTGTGCACAGGGCCTGCACGGAGGACGCCCCTGGTGGCTGCCCACACCCGCCAGCACTTCACAGCACTTCACTCAGTCATCACACAGGTGAGGTGACTGGAAGCCAGTGAACCTCAAAGCTGGAGCGAACTTGCCCTGATGTTGTCTTTCTGCCCACACCTGCGGCCAAGGGATGCTGCAGAGCGTGGCTGCAGTGGTGCTGGGCCGCGAGGTGTGGACATGACGCCCCTCGGTCAAGGGCACTGGGCTGCAGTCCTTCCTCTGCCACTTCGGGTGGTGTGACCCAGGGCAAGTCAGACAACCCTCGTGCCTGTACTCAGCCGGGAACGCATCGGGCCTGCTGGAGGGTCAAG